CTCCTGCCTCAGCCTCCTGAGTAGCTGGGATTACAGGCATGCACCACCATGCCCAGCTAATTTTTTGTATTTTTAGTAGAGATGGGGTTTCACCATGTTGACCAGGATGGTCTCCATCTCTTGACCTTGTGATCCACCCGCCTTGGCCTCCCAAAGTGCTGGGATTACAGGCGTCAGCCACCACGCCTGTCTCGACCTAGAAATTCTTATACATGTGCTTTCAAATAGGGTATTGTGAAGCATATTTTTTAGTGGCTGTTCTGCTTACATATGAAGCATATTTTTTAATAATAATGTTTTTTGTTCTTCATTAGTGAAGAAAATACTTTCCTTAAAATATTTAGTACCAATATTTGGTATTGTAGGAAACAAACACCATTGTTTGATGATGATTTTTTATTTCTTGATTGTTAAATTTATCTGATCTTTATAAAAATGTGTTTTTTCAGTATTAATTTATAAGTTGTTTAAAATATTATCTTTTAAAATATTGCTTTAGGAGTATCTGATTTTAATCTTCGTGTTGCATTGCAAACACTTTTGAAAGAGTACTGTGAAGTATGCAAATCTCCCAAAGAGAATAAGTTTTGTAGTTTTCTGCAGACATCTAAGGTTCGACCTCGGAAGAAAGCAAGAAAGTACCTGTATGCAGTAGGTGAGAGCCCTTAAGTAATAGAAATTGTATTTGTGTTCCAGATCAAACCTTTTCAACATTTTGTTGTTATTACTATACATGTCAGAATATGTGGGTGTGTTGAAGAGGCATATTTAATGTCACATACAGTCTACAGATTCATAAACTAAATTTATATATTATGATAAATACTTCTAAAAAGAAATAGCTGTTCATTTGATATCTGTTATTCTGTGATCTAAACCTTTGAGTTTGTAGATTACCCAGTTATCAAATAAGTGACTAAAGAAGTACTGCTTTAAAAGTAAAAAATTTGAATTCTTATGAAAAATAAAGAAAATGAATCTCAAGTTTTTAAACTATTCACAGCATCTTAGTCATTAGGAGTGATAGGCACCAGTGATCTCCAAAGTGTGGTTGTAAAGGATGATCCACAGGAATATCAGAGGAACATATTACAACTTCTTTTCATTTTTATTTTTAAAAATATTAAACCAAAGCTGGGTGTGGTGGCTCACACCTATAATCCCAGCACTTTGGGAGGCTGAGGCAGGTGGGTTACAAGGTCAGGAGTTCAAGACCAGCCTGGCCAGCATGGTGAAACCCCGTCTCTACTAAAAATATAAAAAATTAGCCAGGCGTAGTGGCACACAGCTGTAGTCCCAGCTACTCAGGAGGCTGAGACAGGAGAATTGATTGAACCTAAAAGGTGGAGGTCGCCGTGAGCTGAGATCACACCACTGCACTCCAGCCTGGGTGACAGAGTGGGACTCCATCTCAAAAAAAAAAGAAAAAAAGTATTAAACTTACATACATCTGGTTGTGGCAACTTATGGCCTGTAATCCTAGCACTTTGGGAGGCCGAGGTGGGAGGATTGCTTGAGCCCAGAATTTTAAGGCCAGCCTAGGCAACATGATGAGACCTGGTCTCTACAAAAAAATGCAAAAATTGGCTGGGCACAGTGACTCATGCCTGTAATACCAGCACATTGGGAGGCCGAGGCAGGTGGATCACTAGGTCAGGAGTTCAAGACCAGCCTAGCCAAGGTGGTGAAACCCCATCTCTACTAAAAATGCAAAAATTAGCCGGGCATGGTTCTGGGTGCCTGTAGTCCCCACTACTCGGGAGGCTGAGGCAGAGAACTGCTTGAACCCAGGAGGTGGAGGTTGCAGTAAGCCAAGATCACACCACTGCGCTCCAGCCTTGGAGACACAGTGAGACACAGTAAAAAAAAAGAAAAAAAATGTAAAAATTAGCCTGGTGTGGTGGGGTGTGCCTGTAGTCCCAGCTACTTGGGAAGCTGAGGTGGGGTGATCACTTGAGCTGAGGAGGCGGAGGTTGCAGCGAACTGAGATTGTACCACTGAACTCCAGCCTGGGCAACAGAGCAAGACCCTGTCTCAAAAAATGAGAAAAAAAGCATTAAACTTTATCAGCATTTAAAATATATATAATATATAGATACATATACAGATTGTCCAGATCCTTATATATAATACAGTTTTCATATAAGTACTTTATATATAATTTATAATTTACATATATGTATAATTATGTATTAATATTTAAGTATAATGCTTTTGGCTACATGTTAAAATTTTTTTGCTGATTGGATGTGTAGTCAAAACAAAGATTTCATCAGGAGGCTGATGGGGTGGGATTGAGGCTACAGTGAGCTGTGATCACATCACTGCACTCCAGCCTGGGTGAGAGAGCAAAACCCTGCCTAAAACACACACACACACACACACACACACACACACACACACGGCTTTCAACTCACTATTTTTAATTGAAAAAGACACCAATGAAAGTTATAATGAGACTTTCCTTACTTAACAGATAAGCAATATCTAGATTTATATTTCATATAATATTCTATTTATAACCAAGACCAAGTGGTAATACACTGAGGCTAACCTCCTTTTTTTCTTTTTTTGAGGCTAATCTTCTTACTGTATTTAAGCCACAATCATTCAGGAATTGGCACATTTAAGAATATTACATTATGGCCAGGCACGGTGGTTCACATCTGTAATCCCAGCACTTTGGGAAGCTGAGCTGGGTGGATCACTTGAGGTCAGGAGTTCGAGACCAGCCTGACCAACGTGGAAAAACCCCAACTCTACTAAAAATACAAAAATTAGTCTGGTATGGTGGTATATGCCTGTAATGCCAGCTTCTTGGGAGGCTGAGACAGGAGAATCACTTGAACCCAGGAGGCAGAGGTTGTAGTGAGCCAAGATCGCACCATTGCACTCCAGCCTGGGTAACAGAGTGAGACTCCATCCCGAAAAAAAAAAAAAAAGAATATTACATTATAAGTATATAGAGAAAGTAAGCTCTAATCCATTTATTTCTTGCTATATGATAGTTAAACTAAAAAATAAAAATAAACTAAATGTTTACATGTAGAATGCTAGATTTTCAATACTACCATTTTTATATTTAATAGTAAGGAATTTGCTGTGTACTCCCTTTTCTTCTTTTGTTTAGGTGGATATACTCGGTTACAGGGGGGTCGTTGGAGTGACAGCAGAGCCCTCAGCTGTGTAGAACGTTTTGACACCTTTAGCCAATACTGGACCACTGTGTCTTCACTTCATCAGGCTCGAAGTGGGCTGGGAGTAACAGTTCTGGGAGGGATGGTCTACGCTATTGGAGGTAATAATAAAAATGTCTTATTTTCCTTATTCGTCTTGTTGGCTGTATTCTAATATGCTTTATATATTGCTATGTGATATACATATATTTCATTGTCCTTAATAAGTACTTACTAAAGAAAGAAGAAATACAAGTTGTTGAATATTTCATATCAGATACTGTGATTTATCACAGCCAGAATACTTAGGTTTGGTTTTAATGAAAAGTTGTGGCTGGATGCTCACACCCGTAATCCCAGCACTTTTGGAGGCCAAGGCAGGAGGATCGCTTGGGCCCAGGACTTTGAGATCAGCCTGGGCAATATAGTGAGACTGTCTCTACAAAAACTTTAAAAGTTAGTATGGTGGCACATTCCTGTAGTTCCAGCTATTTGTGAGGATGATGCGGGAAGATCACTTGAGCCCAGGAGTCAGAGGTTGCAGTGAGCCATGATTGTACCACCGTACTCCAGCCTGGGTAACAGAGCAAGACCTTCTCTCAAAAAAGAAAAGAAAAGTTGTTTATAAAATGTGACACCTGGCCAGGTGCAGTGGCTCACGCCTGTAATCCTAGCACTTTGGAAGGACAAGAGGGGAGATCACCTGAGATCAGGAGTTCAAGACCAGCCTGGCCAACATGGTGAAACCCTGTCTCTACTAAAAATACAAAAAAATTAGCCAGGTGTGGTGACAGGCATCTGTAATTCCAGCTACTTGGGAGGCTGAGGCAGGAGAATGTGGGAGGTGGAGGCAAGATCGCGCCATTGCACTCCAGCCTCGGCAAAGAGAAAAATTCCATCTAAAAAAAATTAAAATGTGGCCGGTTGCCGTGGTGCGTGCCTGTAGTCCCAGCTACTTGAGAGGCTGAGGCTGGAGGATCTCTTGAGTCCAGGAGTTCTGGGCTGTAGTGTGCTATGCTGATAGGGTGTCTGCATTATTTATTATTGAAATTTCTTAAATTCTGAAAGCTGCATTATGATTCATTTTTAATAAACCAAGTTGTATGGATACTGGATATTTAAAAATCAAGTCAACAAGTCTTTTTTTTCTTCTTCTTCTTATTCGCTTTTTACTTCTTCCTTCTCCGGTAATTCGGGTGGCTTGCATTGGAAAGTAGGATATATTTCTTGATTGAAATTATGGTGTTTTGTAAAAACTAATTTTTTTTTTTGAAATGGAGTTTTCCTCTGTCACGAGGCTGGAGTGCAGTGGTGTGATCTCAGCTCACAGCAATCTCCGCCTCCCGGGTTCAAGTGATTCTCCTGCCTCAGCCTCCCGAGTAGCTGGGATTACAGCCAGGCACCACCATGCCCAGCTAATTTTGTATTTTTTTTTAGTAGAGACAGGGTTTCACCATGTTGGCCAGGATGGTCTCAATCCCCTGACCTCGTGATCCGCCTGCCTTAGCCTCCCAAAATGCTGGGATTATAGGATGCGCCACTGCACCCAGCCATGTAAAATTATTTTTATGAATTATGAAATAATAAAATAACTTGGACTATAGGCATGCATCACCATGCTTGGCTCATTACAAATTTTTATTTTTTAGAGATGGGGTCTCACTATCTTGCCTAGGCTGGTATTGAACTCCTGAGCTCAAGTGATTCTCCTGCCTCAGCCTCCCAAAGTGCTGGGATTACATATGTGAGTCATGGCACCCAGCCTGTATATTTTAAAAATTATAATTATTTTATTTTTATTTTATTTATATATATTTTTAGTGGGCCAGGGTTTGGTAAGCCATCCCTGTTCAAAAATTTTATAAATATTTTCTAACCATGAGGTACTGTCAGTTTAAATTATGAGAGATGTAGGAACTATTTGATTTTTGTTTTTACTTTGGAGGATATATAACTCAGAACTATTTATTAAATCAAGAAATGACATGTGCATCAGAAAATTCCAACAAAGAAATTAGAATTTTAAGCAATAAGTTTTTATCTGCATAAAGACCACAATTCTATATAGACTTTGACTACAATTATAATAATTCCTTTGATGTATTTTTTGTCAATTGTGCACAGTTTTATCACTTGAACTTTACTGTTTAACTTAGGATCACAATGTCCTTGTGTGACAGTTGCGTATGTATGTATTCCCTCTCCAGATATCACAAAAGTGCTTACAGAGGCTCTTCAAAACTGCTATGACTTTGCTAGCTGTTAATACTGTCAACATTGCTATCTTAAGATATTCCTTAATATGTAACTTTTAAATAATTTTTTTTTTTTTTCTGAGATGGGGTCTCGCTCTGTTGCCCAGACTGGAGTGCAGTGGTGTGATCTCAGCTCACTGCAACCTCCACCTCCCTGGTTCAAACGATTCTCCTGCCTCAGCCTCCCGAGTAGCTGGGACTACAGATGCGTGTCACCATGCCCATCTAATTTTTGTATTTTTAGAAGAGACGGGGTTTCACCATGTTAGACAGGATGGTCTCAATCTCTTGACCTCATGATCCACCTGCCTCAGCCTCCCAAAGTGCTGGGATTACAGGCATGAGCCACTGTGCCTGGCCTAAATACTTTTAAAATTATAAAAGTAATTCAGGTTTGTTTTACTTTTAAAATTATAAAAGTAATTCAGGTTTGTTGTAGAAAATTCTGCTAAAACAGAAGCATATGAAAAAGAAAATTTAGGCCGGGTGCAGTGGCTCACACCTGTAATCCCAGCACTTTGGGAGGCGTCGGCTGATGGATCACGAGGCCAGGAGTTTGAGACCAGACTGGAAAACATGGTGAAATCCCATCTCTACTAAAAATACAAAAATTAGCCAGGTGTGATAGAGGGCACCTGTAATCCCAGCTACTTGGGAAGCTGAGGCAGAGAATTGCTTAAACCTGGGAGGCAGAGGTTGCAGTAAACCGAGATCGCACCACTGCACTCCAGCCTGGGCAACAGGAGTGAAACTCCNAAAAAAAAAAAAAAAAAAAACAGAGAAATTCAAATCCCTCATGCCATAGTACCCAGAATAATCAGAGTTAACATTTTGGCTTAGTTTTTTCCCAATACATACGTATCTGGGTTCATATTCTAAATGTTGGGTTTTAAAAATTGAGATATAATTCACATACTAAAATTTATCATTTAGAGAATATAGTTTAGTGGTTTTAGCATAGTCACAAACTGCAGCTGTCACCACTATCTCATTCCAGAACATTTCAGCACCCCAGAAAGAAACACTGTGCATGTTAGCAGTCACTCCCCATCTCTCCTCCCAAATCCTAGTAACCGCTAATCTGCTTTATGTCTCTGTCAGCTTGCCTATTCTGGACATTTCATATAAATGTACAATATTGTGTCTGACTTCTTTCACTTAGCATGTCATAACGCATATCAGTTCTTCATTTCTTTTTATGGCTGAATAATATTTCACTGTTTGGAAATAATCATATTGTGTTTGTTTATTCATTCTGTAGTGGTAGACATTTACATTGTTTCCACTTAACATTCAAGTAAAAGTTTTGGTGTAGACACGTTTGATTTATTTTGGGTATATACCTAGGAGTGGAATTGTTAGGTTATATGGTAACTGTATATTTACCTTTTTGAGATCTATATTAACTTCTTTTTTTGTTTTTTATTTTCTTAAAAATATTTATTTTTATTTTTATTTATTCTTTTGAGATGGAGTCTCGCCGTTGCCCAGGCTGGAATGTAGTGGTACGATCTCGACTCACTGCCACCTGCTTCCTGGGTTCAAGCAATTCTGGCTCAGCCTCCCGAGTAGCTGGGACTACAGGTGTGTGGCACCATGCCCAGCTAATGTTTTGTATTTTTAGTAGAGACGGTTTCACAGTATTGGCCAGGATGGTTTCAATCTTATGACCTTGTGATCTGCCTGCCTCGGCCTCCCAAAGTGCTTGGATTACAGGCTTGAGCCAGTGTGCCTGGCCAGGAGAAGATTTTTAGGAATCAGTGTATAGAGATAGACCTCATTTAAAAATTTTTTGTTTACAGTATTTCAGAATTTGGAAATGGTGGAATATATTTAACTTCTTTTATTGATGGACCTTTAATTTATTTCCAGATTCTTGCTACTGCAAGCAGTGTTCCAGTGAGCATCCTTATACGTGTCTCCTCATGCATGTGTATGAGTATTTCAGTAGGATATATGTTGAGAAAGAAAATTGCTGGGTTAGTGATTAAGTACAATTTTAGTTTTTTTTTTTTTCCTTTTTTATATTCAAAGAGTCACCTCATAAAGGACAATTTTAGTTTTTATAGATAATACCAAGTTACCTCCACCAACAATAAATGAGATTACCTGTTTCTTTACTCTTTGCTAACACCATATATAATCAAACTTCTTAACTTTGCCAGTCTGATAGGTAAGAAATTGGGTCTTTCTCTCTCTTTTTTTTTTTTTTAAAAAAAAGACGGGGTTTCACCATGTTGGTCAGGCTGGTCTTGAACTCCCAACCTCAGGTGATCCACCCGCCTTGGCCTCCAAAGTGCTTGGACTACAGGCACGAGCCACCACACCTGGCAGTATCTCATTTTTATTTACATATTCTGTATTATAAGTGAGCTTAAGGCTGGGCATAGTGGTCTCTTGTGTAATCCCAGCATGTTGGGAGGCCAAGGTGGGAGGACCACTTGAGCCTAGGAGTTTGAGGCCAGCCTGGTCAACATAACGAAACCCCATCTCTACAGAAAAAATGTTTTCAACTAGTTAGATGTGGCGGCACATGCCTGTAGTCCCAGCTATGCGGAAGGTTGATGTGGGAGGATTGCTTGAGCTAGGTGATGGCAGCAGCCGCCTATCTGAAACAGCTGCTGCAAAGATGCTGGCTGCAGCATGGCCAGGGCTGCACACTCCATGGAGTTGGTGGGGCAGGAGCCCTGCCCTCCTGGGCACAGCTGGAGCTGCCCAGTGGAGGCTGCAGACCTGGGCATCCCTGTGCTTTCAAAGGCCCAGTAATTCCCCCTGCCGCTGCAGGCTCAGAAGTGCCTGCACCCACTGCCTGGCCTCTCCCTACTCCTGATGTCTGTTTAAATTTCAGAGCAAAGTTGAGGCCAAGC